GACCACTTTTTAATGCCACTGTTGTTGTAACAGAAATACACACTTCAAAGAACACTAAAGTGCTAATGATCGCTAAGAAGGTCATTTATAGAAGGTTAAATTGGTTCAATTAGAATTTATTAGAAGGTTACTATAGGAATACAGAAAGATGTTAAAGGGTTAACCTGCAAGAGATTACATTGTAGTCAGTGTTCTGTTAAAGTTTGAATTAATTTTTCCCATGGGTTTTTCACATTCTAATTTTCAACTAAATGAGACATCTGTTTCAGAAAAGGAAAATTTGCTATGGTTGTCATAGCAACTATCATTCTGTAAGAAAATTATTCCAATGGTTACTTTAGAACAGAAATAAAGAAATTCAGTACATAAAACAGCATCTGAGTGCTAGCACAAATTTTGATAATTCAGCCTTTTTTGGGTGTAAGATTATTTGACCTGTCAAACTTGTTCATATATTTTTAACATAAGGTTAATTGTTTTGTAAACAAATTCACTTGCAGTATATTTTTCTCCCTAGAGCCTTAAATGTAGTCAATTGTTTTTCTATCATAATAATAATAGCATTGAATTTCAGTTGGATTTGAGAGGCACACATTCTTCATTCCAAAAAGGCAACACCTAAATCAAAATACATGGGCAATCATAGACACTTAATGGCCTATGTATTTAATTTTCAGATGCATCTTCTTTGCACCTTTTGGTTTTTTAGGATTAGCAGATTTTTCTCTCTAAACATAGTATTTATTTTACATTTTGTAATGTGAACTAATTTGTAAAGAGATTATACTTTGACTGAGGAAAGGGGTTCCAGAAGCTCAGTGCCAGGTGTTAAATCTGTAACTTTCCTTTCTAGTTCTGTGATGGATGGAAATAGTAGCAGTTGTTGTCTTTGCATGATTTCTAGGCCGCAGAATTGCTAGTATGTATTGGGGGAATATTTTTCCTGTACAGAAAACTTTGATGGCGCTTTTGCAATAAAATTTCGCAAGAAGGAACTTGAAGATTTATAAAATTTCTCGGTGCTTGTAAAAATATTTTTACTTTTGTGTGTGTTGAGCACTGAAGTGTGTGATTTAAAAAAATAATAATATACAAAAGCTAACATTATGCATTGAATCTGTTCTCGAGCTTTAGATTTTAACCAGAACTATTCCAGACATTTCTGTCATTCTTCAGATTGTCACAAAAGACCGCATAATGGGAAATCATACAAGTTCTAACATTTCCTGTTCACAAAAGAACAGCTCCAGCATGCATAACTCACCAAACCTTAACACAAGTGGGTATGTGCTGCAGTCACAAAGGGAGAGAGGGGAGGAGGAAAGTGTTCCTTGTCTTAATAAACAGATCATGCCTATTCACAAAGTGAAACACATTTGCAAGCGTATGTATACAATGGTCCTGGTAGAGACAAGCATCGATTTTTTTTTTTTTTTTTTTTTTTTCTTCTTCAGCTGTGGTATGATTTATAACTCTCTGGATTTTAGCAAGATTAAATAGCCTTCTGTCAAGTTCTTTGACAGTCAAGGTTATTTCTTGTTTTATCTTGTATCTTTAAAGTAACTATCATTTCTATATTGATTTTGACCTTTTTCTTTTTGACAAATACTGATCTGTTTCCCCTCTATTTGTTTCTCAAAGAGCTGAGCAGCTGTGTTCCACTTTTCTACCCGGTTTTAGGACCATGATCATTGATTCTGTACTATATAGGTAAAGGGGAGCTAATCTCATGCCCATTACAATCAGTGGAAAGAGTCCTATCGACTCCCAGAGGATTAATTAGAGCCAAGAATAGAGTGGATGGAAACTTATCAATTTGCCACAAATTGAAAGCCAAACTGCAGTTTGTCACACTTGTACTTTTTTCATATTTGTATTGTGCCCATGTTTTTGCAAGTGAAAATTTACTTGTGAAAAACTGGTTTGGGCCTGTAACTGAATGAAGTGGTGACAAAACTAAATGCACTAATCTTCTTAACATTTTGCAGGGTTAAACAAAGGAGGGTGGCTACCATTCACATTTTGGACTTTGGACTTTTGTTTTTTTAAAGCATCAGGCCAAACTTCTATAAACTGTTGGTGGTACTTATAATGACCTCCATCGTCAAAATATCTAAGCATCTCACAATCTTTCAGGTGTTTATCTTCACAGAACCCTCTTGAGGTACAGAATAATTTTTATTCCCATGTTAATAGGTCATGAATCAAGGCACTGAAAAACTGAAGGCAGGATACTGTTTCACCTAGTGGATACCCAATTGCAGCTTGCCACCAACTCTGAGTTACATGACTGAAGTGTAGAAGTGGTTCTCTTAACCCCCGGGGTGCATATAAGTACCAGCAATAGGATCATCCTCTAGAGACATACAGATATCTAGTATTCTGATAATGGAGGCATTTGCATGTCCAGTGGACATAATAGAATTGCTTCTGTACTTAGGGCAGGTAACTCTGTCACATGCTACACTTTGGTCATTTAGGATGTGAAATAGAATCCCGCCTTAAGGATCAAGGACACATTGGAAGTCTGTGGAAGAGAAGAGGATTCGACTTGAGGCTCAAAGTAGGTGAGAATCCCCCCTCCCTTCCCTTCTGTGCTCAGATAAATGTCCTTCCCTCCCCTGTGCCTGCTGCCGCTGCTTTCCCCACTGCCCAGGCAGTGGGGGAAGATTCAGAGACTCCTGACTGCTCCAGTTGGGAATGTGCCAGGGCTGAAATCAGCTAGGAAAGCAGCAGCAGCAGCAGTGCCTCCCTGTACCTGTTTTCAGAGGGACAGACAGGGTGGGGAAACCCACACCCTGACCCATGGCCATTGCCATTCTTACTGTACCAGCTGAGCCCAGCCTCCACACACCCTAGCGGGAGCAGGAAGGAGCAGCTCTGAATCTTCCCCTCCCTCTAGGACAGCAGGAAAAGCAGCAGTGATGAGCAAGGGAAAGGGTGGGGAGGGGATGTGACTAAGCATAGGGGGAAGGAAGATTCTTACCTGCTTTGGGGATTGTAAAAAGTCCTCGGGAGAGTCTTCACTATGGTCTGCCCACAGGAGCAGATGGGGAGTGCAGGGCTGCTGCTCCTGAACCCTTCCCTCTTTGCCATATCTTGGATTCACCAGTGGTTGAGATAGACTTAGACTTAGACAAGCTTTCAAATGCAACGAAGAAGACACTGCATTTGACAGCTTGCCTAAGTCTATCCCTAGCATGTAGTTGGTTCAATAAAAGACATTACCCACAACAATTTTTGCCTCTAGTAGTGGGAGGATAAGAAACCATAGACCTCAAAGATGCATGGTACTTCTCATAGGGAGAGCTTGTGGTAAACTAGATTTCACCATAAAGTTCTGATTTGAAATTCACCATTTATGTTTGATTTTCCCTTCAGAAAGAGGCCTTGGCAGGTTTGTTTTTTTTTACCTCAATTGGTTGTCCAACTGATCCTTTTCCATGTCAGCAAATCTTATAACAAGTCCCTGCTCTTGTTAACCTTCATCCTGCTCTCACCTTTATGCTTCCAAATGGGAATGGACTGAGCCAAAAGTGATTTATTCCCATTTTTAACACCAGCAGTAATAATCTCCATTTAGATTTCCATTCAGAAACCTGTAAGTGAGCCACGGGAGCATGTTGTGGAGAACTTTCAGATGGGTTTATAGCCCTCTTCAGTCATTTAGATTTAGAGAAACTAGGCTTCTGTGGTCTCTAGGAAGGAAAACATTTCTAAGAAGCTCTTCCTGCCTGAGATAGAGTTTTGAGACTAAAGTTTGCCTTCCCCTGCAAGATAGCTTTTGCTTCTTAATTTCTTAATATGTAATGTGCTTTCAGTTTATTTTTAATATACACATCTAAAAGCATTCGAAAAGCAAACATCAAAAATGCATCCTTACAAAGATTGCAGACATGTTAATTTCTAAAATGCTAGTCAAGCATCAGGAAGGGAAGAGGATAAATGAAAGCTTCACAGCAATAATGTTCTTTTGTCTTTGCCATATATGATGCAAAGAGTAGTTCAGAGAATTTGTTTAAAAGAAATCTCGCTTTTTTGATGCAGCCAGAAGTGTAAAGCTTTCTTCAACAAAGTAACATCTCAAAGGGAACACTGGTTGAAGTGTATGTATTTATAAACACCAAGGATGCAATTATCATAAACCTTATTAAATCACAGCAGCCCATTTACTGTTATCCATATATGGATATGCCCAGAATACCAGTCAATCCAACTCCCCCCACCTCCCAAATAAGCCAAACCTCCGCCCCAAAAAACTGAAGCCAAACGCTCATTTTATAACTTAGAACATCACCAGCAAGTCATAATTTTCTACTGTGACATCATTACCATGAAATACAGCTTTTTACTCAATTGGATTGTAATATACAAATGAATTATATTCTTCCTGGCTGTGCTATAGTCCCACCATTCAACAATGTGCTGTTCTATAAATAACAAAAATGTTTAAGAATATCTAAATTCTCATCTCATAACAGATCTTGAATATATAAAGTCTTATTTAAAAAGCAATTACCATAATGGAGAACTGAATAAAATTGTACACATTTAATTTAATGCACATTTTTGCTCTGATGTTATGCTTCCAATATTAAACAATATAAAACAGGATCTGTACATGTGCTGGCCTATCTCCATACTAGGTCAGGTCCAAGTGGGACTACAGCAGTGATATTTATGTACATGCATCTAGCTTCATGTATAGATATCATGGTATTCAAGCTCCTGTAGCAGTAACCTGTCAATCTAATTAGAGGAATCCAGCAATTATTTCACTATATGCTGCCTATTTAAGCCAATAAGAAGCTTGTTGATTTTCCACACACATTAAATAATGATGACTGTGTGTAGAGATGGTTTTGTCGTACATAGAGGAAAGAAACTTAATGCCATTTGTGTCTCCAAATTCCATAATAGTAGAGAATCAGTCTCCATTTTTAATTAAATAACCAATACATATGAGTAACACTGAAGACATTCTCCTCCTCTTTTGGCAGGCAACCTTGGTTTTATGGCTGGGGCTTTAATCTTCCACGAGGCCAAGCACTATTAGAGAAATGGAACCTTATTCCAGATGGAATAGATATTCTTATAACACATGGACCACCTCTCGGTAAGAAAACATTAGCACTTTTACCTACATATTTCAGATAATGATACAGTAACTGTGTGCTATCCACAGATGTCAAAAGCAAAACTGCCAGTGATTTCAGCAGGGCAGGGTTTCTCATTTCACTTTTTGCAATCACTATTACAGAAGCTGTGATATAGAATCCTAAGGTTGGAAGGGCCTTAAGGGGTCATCTAGTTCAGTGCTCTCTTTATAATAATTTATGAGCTTGATTTCTACTCTTAATTTCCCTGATTGCTAGATGTTTGTACTTCCGCATTATAGACCGACTCATAGTTTCATAGTTTCATAGTTTCAGGGTCGGAAGGGACCTAATAGATCTTCTAGCCCGACCCCCCGCCAGGGCGGGAGAACAACCCAAAAACACAAACAAAACCACTCACCCTAAAAACAAAAACGGGACTCAAATGAGTCCAGCCAGGTAAGTATCCAGCCTCCTCTTAAAGATCCCCAGGGTAGGGGCCAGCACCCCCTCCCTTGGAAGTTGGTTCCAGCTCCTAGCCGCCCTGACTGTGAAGTAGTTTTTTCGGATGTCCAATCTGTACCTCCTCTCCATCAACTTGTGCCCATTATTCCTTGTTATGCCAGCAGGGGCTAGGGGAAACAGCGTCTCCCCCAAACCCTTCTGGTTCCCCCTAGACTCTCGCCTGCCACATCTTGATTTAATTTTTATTATTGGTCGGGAGGTGTTATCAATGTAGTAGGACACTGGCAATACAACTAGATTTGTATCTGTGTGACACCCTCTATTCTAGCTCCCTCAGACGACATCCAAGATTTTTAATCATCTACAGAATCCAATTTATATATGCTTGATCAGCTCTATTTATTTTTAACTTTTCTTGTTATTTATCACTGCTACTATTGATTAATGTCCATACAACGTCTGTCTCTTTCCACTGTTTTACATACTTTTGTTTCTATCTTCAGAAAACTCTTTGTTGCATTTATTCAACATCACAACAACATGAACACAACAAGGCAAAGTCCAATTCAGAACTATTTATATTTTTGCTTTTATTGGCCAAGGTACTGCTTTCAGTCTCTTCTTTTCTTCTTTTTTTTTTTTCGTGGGGAGGTATTATCTCAGTGAGTTCTTCTGTATGCCTTTGCCTCCTGCCCGTCTTCGCATGCCACCCCATGCCTTCCCGGGTCCCTCTATCTTAAAAGTACAGCTACTCCAAAACTGGCGTTCTCCCACTGCAAACTTTTTTTCCCTTTCCTGGACCTTATTTATAGCTAGTCCGTCTTCATACATCCTTCCCCTTAAGATGCCGTCAGGCACCTTTTTTCGTTGCAGCCCTTCCATGTGTTCATCTGTTGTGATGTGAGGCTTCTTTGGAGAACTTTTGGTTGGATGACACCGAGAGAGGAAGTCAGCAACCACATTGGCACAGCCAGGCCTAAATTCAATATCAAAATAAAAGGGTTGTAAGGCAAGGGCCCAATGAGTGATCAGTCTGAGTATTTAGCCACTTTAAAGAGGCATGATCTGTTATTAATGTGAACTTGCACCCTAAAAGGTAGTAGTGGAAATATTCCACCCCCCCACATTTGATGGCCAGACACTAATATTTGATTGTGGCGTACCATTTTTCCTGGGGCTGTAACTTCCAACTGGCATAGGCGATAGGACGCTCCACTCTGTCCATCTCTTGTATCAATACCACACCTATGGCTTTGTTGGATGCATCTGTCTGTAGGACAAAAGGACAGTTGAAGTTGGGAGTGTGAAATACCACATCTTTACATAAGGCCTGTTGTGTTTTTTGGAAAGCTTCCACGTGTCCCTCGCTCCACCTAAGGGGTCCATTTCCTCTTCCCTTCAGCAAGTTAGTTAACAGTGCTGTCACTTCAGCAAAATGCGGAATGAACCAGCGATAATAACTGGCTAATCGTAGGAAGACACGCATTTGGTTCCTTGTTTGGGGCGGTTTATAGTCTCAAATAGCCTCTATCTTGTCCATTAGAGGACTGACATGCCTCTGTCCTACCCTGAAACCTAAATGCTTAGTTTCGCTTTCCCGAGTGCACATTTTCTGGGATTTGCCATCAGACCAGTTGATCGTAATTTGTGTAAGACTTCCTGAAGGGCTTCTTAGCGTTGCGTCCAGTCCTTGGTATAAATAATGATGTCATCTATGTATGCTGTGGCATAATGGTGTGGAGCTAAGACCCAATCAATCAGCCATTAGAACATGGCTGCGGCTCCATGTAAACCAAACAGCATACGTTTAAATTCATACAACCTCCACGGAGTACTGAAAACGTTTTTTGCTTGATCCTCTTTCTGCACAGGTATTTACCAGTACCCTTTAGTCAAACCCAGTGTGGATATGAATTTCACCTGTCTAACTCTCTCTAATAATTCATTAATTTGAGGCATAGGGAAAGCATCGATTTTTAAGATCGCATTCAGTTTTCTGAAGTCTACACACAACCGTAAGGTACCATCTCGCTTGGCCAATTCTGACTGGATGGTAGATCGAAACAGGTCTTCTTCCTCTTCAGCTTCTCTGAAGTGTGCGCTGGTTGATAAACTCTCTATGTCAAATCCTTCTGCATTCATTGCAACCTCTGTCTCTTCTCCTGTGAGACCCTCCTGTATTCTCACTGTGTCCAGTACCTGATAGATTTTGGCCCAGTCTCGGCTCAGTATGATCGGATAAGGAAGATCCTTTGCTAAGCCTATGGGCATCTCCTTTGCCCTACTGAGAACTTCGACCAGATATTTTTTTTGTGGATATGTCGAAGGTTGTCCATGCATGCATATCATCCATACAGCATCTGCTTTCGGTGCCCACTCTTGAGAAGGCAGATCTGTCCAAATCAGGGTCTGTGCGCAACCAGTATGTACAATTGACTGCATCTTTTTCCTCTGATCTGTGCCCCAACTGTGGGTTTCTCTTTTGGTCCTTCACAACCAAATTTCCTGATGCTGCAATCCATCATCTCAGTCAGTCCATTATATTTAGTATCATTTCATGGTGTCCGGGTGTCAAATGTTGAAGTAGAATCTGTGGAGATTTATCTTCTTTTTTCTTCATATGAAATGCCTGTTGATACCTCTCTGGATTAATGTCTAAGCGATGCGTAATTTCTTTTTTCACCTTGTCATAATCCATCGCTTCTCCCCATGGCATAGCTCGATATGCCACTTGGGCCTTTCCTATCAAGAACACTCCTAGCTGACCGGCCCACCAACTATGATCCAACCCTGAGGACAATGCAGCCCTCTCAAAACTCTCTAAGAGTGCCTCCGGATCATCTTGGGGTGTCATTTTGAGAACTTTTACTTCAATTTGGTTCTGCTGGGTCAACACTTGTTGCTGGAGCCATTTTTCCTCAAGTGCAATTTGGCAAGCCACTTGTTGCTGCTGGAGTAGTTGGCCCACCAAATGCAACATTTGTTGTAGAGGTTCAGGACTTCCCATGGTGCCTGGTTGCATCTCTATATTTTTTCTTTTTTGCAGGCTGTTGTCAAATTCCTGGCCAATACACCACTGTGGGTTTCTCTTTATAATTTATGAGCTTGATTTTTACTCTTATCTCCCTGATTGCTGGATGTTTGTACTTCCGCATTATAGACCAACTCTCACCTGCCATGGCTTGATCTAATTTTTATTATCGGTTGGGAGGTGTTATCAACACAGTAGGACACCAGCAATACAACTAGATTTGCATCTGTGTGACACCCTCTATTCTAGCTCCCTCAGACAATGCCCAAGACTTAATCATCAACGGAATCCAATTCGTATATGGTTGATCAACTGTCTTTATTATTAACTTTTCTTTTTATTTATCATCTTTATTTGAAAGACCGATGAGCATCCGCAGCTCCCTTCTTCTCACAGTTTCTATTTCTGTACCTTTATTCATCTGAGCGATCAACACACCACCCTACTTCTTCAGGGACTCCAGACTCTCTCCTCTGGACATGTCCTCTCTCGGGCAGAACCGTCTGCTGGGACTTCTCTGTCTTGGACTAATTCTTCTGAACCTGTGCTCTGTTCTCTCTCTCCTGGGTCCCTCTATCTTAAAGGTACAGCTACTCCGAAAGCAGCGTTCTCCTGGTGCAAACTTTTCTTCCATTCCCTGGATGTTATTTATAGCTAGTCCCTCTTCACAGCTATCCACAGATGTCAAAAGCAAAGCTGCCAGTGATTTCAGTGGGGCAGGGTTTCTCATTTCACTATTTGCAATCACTATGACAGAAGCTGTGATATAGAATCCTAAGGTTGGAAGGGCCTTAAGGGGTCATCTAGTTCAGTGCCCTGTACAAATGCAGGATACTCTGGTCTTAACCATCCAAGACAGATGGTTCTTTAGGCTATTCCCAAAAACTTCCAATGAAGGAGATTCCTTAATGTCCCTTGGCAGGAGTAAAATAGTTTATCTTAATGTATGTGATAAAGAAAGAATGACTGATTCACCTATGCCTCACTTCAGTTTCACACAAAGGTTAGTTAAACCATTATGGAGGGATGAAATGATGAATCAGGCCCACTATGCCTTTGCAGTTAGAGGTTCTGATTCTACATGTCTTGTGCATCCAAAGGTTTGACTGAAATAAATCAGTTCCTCATCTCCTTTCTTGCCTCTAAGTATGAATCCTCTTATTTTTTTCGTTTGTATTTTTTTGTTTATGGGTTTTGTTCTCCTCCACCATATATCCAGAGCTGAACACTTTCTCCTTCATCATGTGTCACCTCTTCCTCTTCTCTCACACACACACACGCACACACACACACACACGGCTACAGTCATGTTATCCATTCTTTGGAGAGGTCTAGTGACTTACCTATCAGTGATACAGTACAATTGCCTGGACAGACCATCAAGAAACAGTCCCACTTTCTTTTTTTGCTTAAGTATACAAATATGAATGACAGCAAACATACTGGAATATGGGTGTAGCTATTATAAGTCAGAATGATATGATTTTAGAACATTTGAAATATTTTGAATGCCACATTTCCATCTGATGGACCGTGAAGTAAATCCATGCTGTGTTAGTTCCACAGAATGTCCCTGTATCCAGTGCTTATCATTCAATTGTCAACATATATCTGAATATTTGCTGTCTGTCTTTCTTTTTTTATCTTCATCCATCCTCCAGAGATTTTAGAAATTTTGCTAAGTTTCTTTTTCTGTTTTTCCCTCTATATTGATGTATATATAGACAGCTTATATTCAGTACTGAATACATTGCAACTTTTTATGATCTGGATTGTAATATTCATCAACTTGAAATGTTACCCACCTTATACAGATGTTTTAGAAGACACCCCAAAGGAAATGGGGTGTCTTTTTACTCTTTTGCCTGGCTTTGTGTGAGGCCATATTGTAAGGGAAGGAAAAAGTGGGGAGATGTTGGGAACAAATTCACCTTTTGGGGGGTTTTTTCTTGCATGGTTGTCCAAATTCTACCATCCATTTTTCTCCTATACGCCCCACCTCGCTTCAGCCAAGCAAACAAGTCAGACTACTCCACTGGTGTTATGTAACCAACCAAATTTAAAACTGCCAAAGTGGTCTAGGAGAACAAATCCCATTGACTTTTCATGTGCTTTTGAAAATCCTATGGTGAGAGTCATTCTTTTTCTTCATTATTTGTATTGTGAAAGGGCCAGCAGCTTCAGTCTAGGATTGGCTAGGCATTGTGCCAGGCAATCCTATATATGTAATGAGTAAACAGCAGGCCTGTGTGAAGCAGCTAGTATTTGCTTTGGATTCGGCTGATTCGGAGGACAGTGATTCGATGTGGTGATTCAAATTACTGTCCCGAATCGATTTGGCCAAATCTGAGTCGGAGATTCGGCTGCTGCCGAATCAGCCAAATCTCCAAATCAAACAGGCCCCATCCCTCGCCTGCTCAATGGCTGCCCTGTCCAGCCCCAGCATCCTGACACTTAAAAAAAACAAAAAAAACCCAAAAAAAGCCCCGCACTCACTGGTTCCTGCCGAGGGGAGGGGAGGAGATTCCTACAGCCCCCCACTGCCCTGCGCTGTGTGGGGAGGAGTCTCTGTCATGAGCCTTCAGAAGCCCCGAGGCCTCTGCAGTAGCTGGTGAGAATGGGGCTTTTTTTTTTTTAAAGCATCAGAATGCTGGGGCTGGGTGGGGCAGCCATTGACAGGGCTGGGAGAGTGGGCAGGAGTCAGGGAGTGCTCAGAGGGGCTGGGGAGCAGATAGGATGGGGCCTGGCATGGGTCCCCACATGGTCTCCTGCCCCCTTCTCCAGCCTCCCCTCCAGCCTCCTACTTACGGGCACAGAGCCCTGGTCGAGCTCCCTACAGCGGCAAGTAGGGACCTCCTGAATCGCTGAATCTCTGAATCTTCTCCAAATCATTTTTTTAATTGATTCAGAGGCTTCAAATTGATTTGGACCTTTTTATTGGTTTCCCACTTTGATTCAGATTTGGAAATACGGCCACTGAATTGGGCCAACTCTCCTCTGAATTGAATCAGCAGCTGAAGCTTCGCACCGCCCCAGTAATTCAGGAACTGCTTACAATTTTTGGCAGTCTTTGTACACAGGCATCCTATTAATGAGGGTATACCATATATTCATAATTTGTTTTATCAACTAGTATAAAAGAAGCTTACCTTTGATAATATGGGTATAGTGTACCGTGTTTGTTTCTACGATAACATATTTCTTATTTTTCTTTTGTGTTTATGTTCATTCCTTTTATTTTCTTTTTTTGTTTTAAAAGTTTCTTTGCCTGATCTGCAAAGAATTAATTTGATTTCTCTTCAAAAGTTCTCTCTTTTGTCTTTTTCCTTTTTTTTTTTTTGGTTAAAAAAAATTAATTTCACCTTGAAGTCTTTATCTGTTGTTGTCTGCTTGATTGTCTGTGACAAAGATTTATACTTTCTTGACAGTTGCAGAAACCTATTTCATGTAACCAAACATTAAAAAAACCTAAGATGAACTCTAATTGTTAGCTAGGTATAATCAATTATTCTTAGTTTGTGTAGTCAGGTGTATATAATAAACTGCAAACATATGGGAAGGCTTCAGAAGGGTGATAAAGCATGTAAACAAAAACATGTTCAACATAAATAATGCTTAATTTAATGGAGAAGTTAATTTCATAGTTTTTTTTTTGTAAAGTTTTTGAAGTGGAAATCCTTTTGCCTTTATGTTCACCACAGACGTTTTGACAATTAACTGTTTCAAATCACTGAAATGACAAAAGCCTAGAGTATAAAGTCTTTACTGTGAAAAAGAGGATAAACTGGATTTTGCAAGATATAATTTCTGAAATCCTTTTGATGTCTTAAATAAGTGTTTTTGTTAGTACATACCAGGCATTTTAAACTGCCTTGGAGGGAAAAAAATGACCTGCAGAATCAGTTGTCAGAGTTCAGCAGTGATCATCTATGGCTCTACTTAAATTGCATTTAGATTGTCTGCTGAAAATGCTGGAGAGTCTGTTTTCAAAAGTGCCTAAGTGACTTAGTAGCCAAAACCACATTTTCAAAAGTGCCTAAGTTATTTTGGAACCCAAGTCCCATTTTCAAAACTGACTTTCAAAGAGAATTGAGCCCCTCAGCACCAAGGCATTTTGAAAAAAAATAGTTTTAGTTTTGTGTGTCACATAGGCACTTTTGAAAATTGTATTATTAGTCATAAAATATACTGAGCCCAGGTTTTGTTTCGTGTATAATCAAGTACTAAATAAATGTGCAGTAACCAGAGTTACTGTGCAGTAGCTCCAGCGGATGTCTTTTAAATAAAGCTACTGCGCTATTAGCGTCTCGTGTAGATGTGTTAGCATTCTGGTGTCACTGAAGTTAACAGTTTAACTTCAATCTACCAATTTGCATCTGGCTCTTGTGCCATCGTTTGAAACATAGTAGGTACTCTTGTATGTACCACAGTTATCTCAGCAAGGTTGACAACCCAAAGCATTTTTTTACTGGCAATCTGCAAACATTCACTGTTAATAGATTAGTTTATGTCTATTTATCAGAAATTCAGAGATACCTGAAATCCAGAGATTACTTGGAATATTCAATTCATAAAGATATGCCTGTAATTTATTTCTTTTCTCCTGTTTTAACTCCCTGTTGTTCATCTTTTTCTTCAAAGGTTTTCTAGATTGGGTTCCTAAGAAGATGCAAAGAGTAGGATGTGTGGAGCTGCTGAACACAGTCCAAAGACGAATACAGCCTAGGCTTCATGTTTTTGGACATATCCATGAAGGTCAGTGTGATTGTTTCCGTGTATTTTTTTAAAACTAGCTACACACAAGTTACTTCATTATTTGGCCAGTATTGTCAAAAGTTGGTGTTTGGCAACTATATGCCCGGACACATCTGAAAGTCAAGCCACTTGTTTAGCTACAGGAATGCTGATGGAGGTTTGCAGCTTGTACCCATGTTTGAATAGGGGTCTCAACTTCTTTCAGTTTCCTCCTCTGGAAAATGGAGAGAATACCTACCTCGATAGGAACTGTTGATGCATTTGTTTTAAAACAAGACACAATTCTAATATTTAAAGCACATGACTACAAGTCCGAGTTAATAGATTTTGCTTTTGGCTTTTTACTGAGCCACTGTGTTACACTAGAAAAATGGTATAACCTCTCTCTGCCTCAATTTCCCTGTTTGTAAAACAGGTATAATCCTTAGCAAAGGAATTCTGAAATTTAATTATGAAGATCCTGAGAGAGACCCTCTGTAGAAGTATAACATTAAAATGAGGATTCATAACAGTTTAGAGATACCCAACATTCTTGGGCAAAGCACACACAGTCCTCTCATCTCCTCACTGGCTCGTAGGAGTTCCAGATTCCCAGCATCCTGAGGGGTGTCATTCTCCCACCAAATATCTCAGAATATTAGGGAGTCATTACTAGCTTGGGTGAGAATAAGTTGAGGAGTGCTGTAAGTTTAATTTTCAGTAGACAGATCACCAAGCATGTCCTCTCAGCTATTTGGTTTCTAACTAAACAATATGAATTAATTTCGTCATAGACTTCATAGACATTAGGCCTGGACGGAACCTCGGAAATCATTGAGTCCAGCCCCCTGCCCAAGGGGCAGGAAGTCCGCTGGGGTCATAGGATCCCAGTAAGATAAGCGTCCAAATTTCTCTTGAAGACATTCAATGTAGGTGCTTGAACCACCTCCGATGGCAGGCTATTTCAGACCTTGGGGGCTCGGACAGTGAAGAAATTCTTCCTTATGTCCAGCCTGAAATGGTCTTGCAGGAGTTTATAACCATTTGACCTTGTCATCCCTTGGGGCACTCTGGTGAACAATAGTTCCCCCAGATCCTGGTGTACACCCCTGATAAACTTATAGGTGACCATCAGATCACCCCTGAGCCTGCATTTTTCCAGGCTAAAGAGTCCCATAGCTCTCCGCCTGTCATCGTAAGGTCTGTTTTCCTGACCTCTGATCATGCGCGTGGCTCTTCTCTGGACTCTCTCAAGCTTCTTCACATCCTTTTTGAATTGTGGAGCCCAAAACTAGATGTAGTACTCCAGCTGCGGCCGCACCAAGGCCAAATACAGTGGGAGAATGGGTTTTTCTTCCCAAGGTGGAGAACCTTGCATTTTTTGGTGTTAAACACCATCCGGTTCTCATCCGCCCATTTCCTGAGCCTGTCAAGGTCAGCCTGGATCACCCTCCTGTCCTCAGGTGTGGCTGCTTTACCCCAGAGTTTGGTATCATCAGTGAACTTGGGCAGTCTGCTTCTGACTGCAATGCCCACATCATTAATGAAGATGTTGAACAATATAGGTCCAAGGACAGAGCCTTGGGGGATCCCACTGGTCACAGGGCACCATGACGATTGACTTCCGTCAACCACCACCCTCTGGGTCCGACCACGGAGCCAATTCCCCAGCCAGTGGATTGTGGTAGACCCAGGATGCAGTTGGCCAGTTTTGCCAAGAGGTAATCATGGGATATCAGATTGAAGGCTTTTTTGTGGTCACGGTATATGACATCAATCTCCTCTCACTTGTCCAGGTGATAGGTCACCTGGTCATAAAAGGAAATAAGAATGGTCAAGCAAGACCTACCTGCAACAAACCCTTGCTGGCTATCCCTCAGGATTTCGGCCAATCCGTTAAGATTGGCCTCTTTAATAATCTTTTTAAGACCTTCCCCGGGATAGAGGTCAGGCTGATGGGCCTGTAGTTTGCCGGATCCACTTTCCTCCCTTTCTTAAAGATAGGCACCACACTGGCCTTCTTCCAATCCTCAAGCACTTCACCAGATCGCCAGGAGTTCTCAAAGATCCATGCCAGGGCTGGGCTATGATGCTAGCCAGCTCCTTGAGTACCCTGGAGTGTAGATTGTCAGGGCCAGCTAACTTGAAGATGTCCAGCCTCTCAAGGTGTTCCTTCACGAGGTCCGCATTGATGGAGAGCAGGGAATCTCCCTCACTCGGGCCTCGCTGTCCTGTAATGGGCAGGGGCGTCCTGTGGGACTGATGAAAGACCAACACAAAGTACCCATTTAATAGGTTAGCTTTTTCCTGGATGTCAGTTGTTAGTTGTCCCATCTGGTTTAGCAGGGGTCCAATGTTACCCTTGCTTTTCCTCTGGCTCTCCACATATCTAAAAAAGTACTTTTTATTGTCCTTGATACTTGTAGCTAGTTGGCATTCTGTCACAGCCTTGGCTTTCCCGGTTCACTCCCTGCAGGACCAGACCAGTGTGGAGTATTCCTCCTTAGAGGTGGATCCCATCCTCCATCTTTTGTAGGCCTTTCTTTTTATCCGCAGGAGGTTCACTAGTTGATCTTACAGATCATTAAGTAGTTCTACTCTTACACTCAGTGAAGTCAGCGGGAATAGGAGCACATCTGTAGTCAAAAAGGAAGAGAAATAATGCACCTTACAGTATAGTATTGGGTCCTGCAAAAGGTGCATGTGTGGAATAACAGCAAAGGTTAAGCAGTCCTGATGCAAACCATAAAAAGAACCCAGTTGTTTGCTTTAAATGTATCCATCAGAGCTGAGTAGAAAAATGTATTATCAGCTGCTTACTGACGCACTGTTGATTTACTAGCAGCAAAAGGTTCTCCACAGCAACGTGGCTGCCAGTTTTCCTCCCCAGGGGACTCCCCCAGTTTTCACCAACATAGAACAGAAGGACTTCAAAACTCCAAGAATTGCCACTAAGATTTCTTTTATTTTAGAAACAAAACACTTCTAGCCAGAACCTCCTGTCAATTCTCACTAAGAAAAGTTTGCAATGCCTCTAAACTCGGTAGAGTGATTATCACTGTAAAACTGATAGGAGAGGATGTTCAGCCCCATGAAGACGAGTATTCCATATAGGATTTGCACAGGTAGGTGGCTGTAAGTCCAGTAATCTCTTACACCACACACGAGCTGTGACTGGCTGATTTCTAAAATGCTAAAACATATGCATACAAACAATGCATAAACAATAACTGGGATTCATAGATTCATAGATTGTAGAGTCGGAAGGGACCACAATGGATCATCATGTCCAAACCCCTGCCCCTGGCAGGAAAGAGGACCGAGGTCAGATGACCCCAGCCAGGTGACTAATGGATGAAAACTGCAGTCTTAGAAATTACTTAAATGCAGCAAGTGGACAGGTTGCAGACAGAATTAATGTTTAGATTGACATACTCTCTTCAAGATATTATAGACCAAGTACTCTTACATGTGGTGTAAGTCAGCTGGTACAAGCACTGGTCAGGTAAACAGAGATGCATCTGCTTTTACCTGGTCTGACTTTAGCTCTGCTGGGAAAAGAGGACTTATTCTCACTGCATGGTAAATTGTTTGAACAAACAGTGCTGGTACAGCAAGCATCTGAGTAAAGAGACAAAGTGTTCTTCTTGTAAGCACTCATAACTTAGTAAAAACAAATAGGAAACTGTGCAGCCTGTTTTCCAGTAGGATGTTGAAACCTCCAAGAAGAATTCCCAAGTTATCATAGACAGCCTATGCAAATGAAGCTGCTCTTTGCAAAGCAAATGCATGGTATGAACAGATGATATCCTTCCCTGGCTAAGCACAGCTACATCTGTAGCAGTCATTTACTAAATATCCAGGAGGAATAGAAAACTCGCTGCTTCTCCATTCCATCCTCTCTGCCACTGCTACTGCCAAAAATGCCACACCTACAGCCATATACTTGTTGTTTTCACTAGTCATCATGCTCTTACAGTTATGTCATCTAAAATTCTGCTTTTTGTTTTAGCCAGTGCTCCAGTGGGGTGATGATTCAGGCATCTCCAAGATAGGGTTGGCAGGAATGGAATATTGCAACATTATAACCATCCATAAAAAGTTAAAAGTGTGTTAAAACCATATAGACAAGGAGAGAAAATTCTGAAGTTCCAAAAGCAGTGTTAACTCTGCTTCGTTAAATCTCTGTTTATTGGTATTTTTATGACATACTTGTTCTGTGGTAAAAAGCAAATCATTTGGGAAAAATCTCTATGATCAGGACCAGGCAGAATTTGGGGTCCAGTAGGCAAATAACTTGTGTTATTATGTTTTGCAGGTCTTTTATAAAAAGGTTGGGGGAAAGTGTGTGTGGAGGGCGGGGAGGGGGTGGAATCTGTTGCCTGTTTTGTAGTTTAAAGGTTCTTGAACCAGTGGCATATCAATATGACCTGAATCCTCTGAAGTGTGTTGGAGGTCAGTCAGAATCTTAGGTGCATATATGTCCAGGACACCTCTAATTTATGTTAATAGAGATAATTAAACCAATCAAGATATCAATAAAGGGAGCTGAGACTTTCACTATTAGCTTCAGTGGAAACAGAATTGAATTGAGCTCCTTTAAATAATTACTTCAAAAATTACTATCTTCTTTAAATCAGAATTCTTTTTTTCTACAGATTGAAATAAAGTATGGCAGTCTCCCTGTCAAGTGTCAGCTTACAAACTTCCACTGGGCTTTCTGTTGCCTAGCTAAAGGGGGTTTTTTTTTTTCCTTTTTAATTTTTTTCTTATATTTTGTAGTGGGAAAATATCTTCCCAGTCCTCTAACTCTGAAAATAATTCATAGGATTTTGCTCAGCATCTCTAAAATGTTTCCTTAGAAATATTACCTGGAAACAATCAGTCCCAAAGGGTGAAAGTTTCCAGAAATCTGTATGCAGTTTCAGACACACAAAAAAATCAGTTGTTTCAATGCCTGAAAAAAATCAGTTGTTTCAATGCTCCCACTCCCCACCCCATTCCAAAATTGGAGAGACTATATTCTAAACGTTGCTTGTCAAAGAGATATATCAAAGTTGTGTGCACTGTTCAAATTTAGGGAGTTGTACTCTTTTGTGTATATACTCTGATGTGTTCCACCTGCCTGCCTGCCAAACTAGAAAGCTATACAAATTTGCTCCGGTTATATAGGTATTGCTACTACTCTATAAGCATCACTTGTACTAGGTAGAAGAGGATTTGGCTCTGGTAAGTCCTTCAGAATACAGATACATTACTGTCCAGGGCCACTCACTCTTATGGTATTATATACATGATTAATAATAGTAACTAAAACTTGCTATCTTTGTAGGTTATGGAGTAATGGCTGATGGAACTACTACCTATGTGAATGCATCAGTGTGCACTGTGAATTACCAGCCACTCAATCCACCTATAGTTATTGACTTACCTACTCCAAGGAACACATGATTAGCATAGGGATTTAATGCTGTATGAACACACTAGCAACATTATATTGATGACTAAGAAGCCCAGTAAGTAACTGTTCAGCAAAGAAGCACAAACTCTTCAATTTTTCTTTTAGTTCTTCTTGGAAAAATCTGTGACAAAGATAAATGGGAAACAAAGACATTTTGGTACCATTATCTGCCAGAAGCAGATCAAAGACTACCATTTCATCATTAAAATATTTGTGAACACACAGAAGTGAATGCATTCCATGTATGTATCAAGTAGGAGTTTCTGTATATACTATACATTATACTGAACTTATTATTAAAAGAACAATGTCTTTTCAAAGAAATGTTTCTTTTAAAATGTTTACAGTTTAAACAATGTTTAGACTAGGATTTCATCATTGAAAATATATCCCAGTGAGCACTTGGTAAAAGGAAGCGCCAATGATATTTCCTCTGAATTAATATGGCACATTTAATAGTACCATATTTAGCCGGTTAATTGAAGCAAGGTATTATTCCAAATCCTTCAAGTCTATCTTTTCATTCTTTTCAAGCCAGTACAGTACAAGCTTCTTATTCACTGTACTGTAATGCAGTCTAATTAAATCTAACATTACAGATGGAAAGAGAAATGGAGTGTAGCACCAAGGTGCTCTGAACAGCTTGAACATTCTAGAAAGGAGATCAGGCTAAATGCAAAACAAGTATAGGAACTGGTATCTTGGCCCTGCCTGTGAAAAGTTGTTATCTCCATATTTAAAAGTTGCTTATATCTTAATAATAGAATCCTAGAAAATTAGGGTTGGAAGGGCCCTCAGGAGATCCTACCTTATTATGGGTAGGACTAGATGGATGGGTTGAAATTAATATGGCAGGTTGTGTGTGATGGCATGTAAAATCCAAAAGAATGCCCATAGCATTCAGCAGCTGGTTTAAAAAAGAGCCCATTGCAACTACTGGGCTTTAAAAAATGACAGTGGGATAATGGCCTTTCATAATATTACTGCTTTGAATCTGGCCCATGCTGGAAGTGATTAAAGATCATTAGGTAATTTTGTTATTGTGAGAATGAGATTGGCCTTTCATCTTCTAATAGTTGTTCAGTAGTAAAATGAATGATGGTGACGCCTCTCCAGTTCATACAGCACAGGTGTTCACGTCACAAAACATATTGCAGCTATGTGCTGTCCAGTGGATGGTATGACTGTAGTAGAGGCTGAGGACCAAACAAGTCAAGGAGACTGATCTATAAGGATAAAAGTTGCTTTCATTCTTTCATATGTGAAGACTAAGGTACAAGGGCAGGACAGTACTGTGTGGGAAAGCTGCCTTTTAATGGGCTAACAGAGGAGTTGAGTCTGTAAGACTTTGTCCAGAACTTTACCTAAACTCTGGAATTCACAGTAACATACTTCACATAAAAAAACATACTAGGCTTGTCTACATATTCATTAATGCACCATAGTTATTGCACATTTAGTTTACTAGGACATGTGTAGACAAAACGGGGGCCCTAAATTGAAGTGGTGGGTTTTAAAAAACACCGCTTCAATTTAGGGTTGATTAAACCCCTATGTTATGCACACACCCCTCTGACTTACCTGCCACGCCAGCGGGGAGGGGAGGGCGAGCTGCTGGTGGCTGGAGCGGTCCCTGGGCTGCGGTTGGGGCTGGTGCTTCCCTCTGCAGAGCTGTGGCCTCCCCCCATTTGGCATCCGCCTGCAGGCACGTGGCTCGGGTGGTGCTGGGGGGCACTGCAGGCGCAGAGGAAAGCACCAGGCCCCCACACAGCTCAGGCAGGTAGGCTCGGGTGGGGGGCAAGAAATCAAGCTCACCGCTTTTCTTGGGTGGACCTGCTTTCCTGGGCTGCTGCATAACCAAGTACTAAATGACTTCATAGTAACTGATGTTACAGTACACTAGCGTCCCCACACTTTTTTCTGATGCTACTGCGCAGTAGCAACAAAGTACTTGCACAGTAGCTTGTTACTACTGCTCAGTAGCATTGCATCATGGTTAGTCCCCCCAACACTACTGCACAGTAGTATCTCATGTAGACATGCCCAGTGACACTCAGTCACAGCGAGTCTGGCAGAAACAAGATTCCCTTTCTGTACTTCATATATACTACAGTTCTTCTTCCACCTGATGCTGGGAAGCAATGAAATTTTATTACAATAAGTTCAGTCATGCTATTAACCCACCAATGTCAGAAAGTATGACATGCCACAAATCTCTAATTTCAAGTGACTTGTGCGACTTGAGACCTATAATAGTTTTCTGCTCTTTGCTGAAACTAAAAGCAAACAAACAGGGGGTCTCATCATGTAACCTTTTTTCCATGTGAATTGTTCATATGTACGTGAACAGTCTGCCATTAAATTTGGATGGAAGTAATTTGGCAAAATCCTTTTACAAGATTGGTTCCTGAATCAGCAAGGATTGAAAGTAATCATTTATTGCTAACTTCTTACCATCCTTGGAAAGAAAACCAGTCCCATGTACTTAGAATAAAAGTCTTTTAGCCAGTCACGATTCAAATGCTTTGCAAAACAAGTGTGGCAGGAAATTGGCTGCACGTTAATGAAATCTGAAATGTTTACATTCACTCTTGGCACTTCAAATACTAAAATGTTAAAGGGGGGGGAGGAGGGAAGAGGCCCTTTTACTAGCCTCAACAAAATTTTTATGTCAACCATAAAATATTGTCTTAAAAATAATTTTTCCTAAGATATCTCAAAATACTGTGTATTTTTATGTGAAAATGATATGAAAGCAGCTGTTACTTTAAAAAATCATTAAAAGTACTTGAGGTATGAAAGCTTAAAGGTTATTTAATCATTTTGGCATAACTTGATAGTTGTTGTTGTAATATTTGTCAAGCATGTTACACAAATAAAATTTTGCAAAAATGCAAGGTCTGCTTATATTTATCTCACTCATTTATGCAAACCTGAGGGCCAATTGTAAACCCCCAGTTGTAAAGCTCCAATTCAGCTGGAGCTGAAGACTCTCAACATATCGTATAACTGGGTACCAGTAACTTTGCAAACAAGTCTAAGAGTGCTGGCCTAAAAAAGGAAGCACTCTAATTCCTCCACCAGTTTGAGAGAGAGTTCTTTTCTTTCTGTCAAAAAAGACTGATTTGGAGCAATGGTTACAGACAGAGAGAGAAAGGCAACTGATTCATGTAACTGCTCAGGTCCTCATATAAGGAATAACAGATGTTTCCATAACATATCAGGGTTCGTTAAGACAATTTAGTGTGAATAGTTATTTAGCAAAAATTACAATGAAAAATGTTGATAACTTTAGATCCCATTACTCAGATACAAGTGAAATCCTCAGAGGAATTTTAGCTTAGATATTTAAGCATATACTCAGCATAGCCCTCACAGAGGAGACAAAAGACATGCTCCCTCTCCTTCTCACTCTCTTCCCCTACTCCCCCCCCCACCCCACACACACACACACACTTTTTTTTCTAAATTCTGTCTTAGTATTTGTGCTGTCAGTCAAGGCTTTGGGTCCCAAATCTTACCTGACTCAAATCAGTTTAAATCCAGAAGGAAAAGATTGTGTATATCCAGTTTTGAGATTGTACATTTGGTTATTTTTAAGTCAGGAATGTCTAGAACCTATAATAAGCCAATGTATGGTGCTCCTGTTGCTGGTTTTCACTGGAATTTAGCCTGCTTACATGAGTTCCAAAGGTGTTCTGTCTATCCATCCTTGTACAGGGATGTGCTTTGCTATCTGTAGGCAGAGGGAATCATTCTAATATTATAAAAGCCTAAGTCTGTCTGTCTGTCCATAATGCTTTATTCGCACTCTGATTGGCTGATGGAAACGGCCAACTAGAGTGCTCCAACTGTGGGCAAGCACCACCATGATTCCAAAGCCATGCCGAGGACCAGACAGAGGTTGGGGGAGCTCCCCCACCCCACTCCCTGCAAGAGACAGAACAGCGGCAGCATGGGGCATTAGGTGGCGGTACTCCATCCCAGCACCCCTGACCCCCCGTCATTCTTGACAGGCAATTGGCTAATTATACATATAAAGCTCTTCAAATGCAGTTTGTAGCACTTCACACTGCCTCCCAGCTAAAGTATCACTGTGAGGGACTACAGAGTTATCCAGGGTCATTTCTGATATGGTCTGATTTGTAGCACTATAACACTATCTGCCATCTGTCGACTCAATTTTTATAGCAACTTGAAAGTTATTTAAAGCACTATAAGCACTATATATGTCTGGACCCAGAGTTTTTAAACTGCAAGATTAATTTAAATTCCTTTTAAAAAATGGATGGGGTATGGGAGAAAACTTCACTGTGTGTCAGTAGACAAGGACAAATAGGATTTGCTTTAGCTCTTAGTCCCATCATGATGAGCTAGTGTTTTAACACCTAATAGATTGGCAGGACCAAAAGAATTTCCTGGCTGCTAGAAAAGAGTAGTCATTCAAGCAGCTCTATACTGAGAGATAAGGCTAGTATCCGAGAAATGGTAGGCCAGCAATGCTAGGATGGGGCTTGGAGATGATGTAAAATATTGGTATAAAGTGTAACGGGCAGGGAAGTAGACAGATTCAGCTCTGGAGGGGTGGTAAAGAAATACAGTAATGGAGCAGGCTGATGGCTGACTCCATCAAGTGCCCTTTCTCTGTCAATGGTCACTATCACTTGCCATGGAGAAAGGGGCAAAAATTCCATGAGTGGGCAATTCTGGGCAAATCTGCAAGGGGGAAAGGTTTAGGTTTTCATATGAGGGCTTCTATCTCATCTAAAATATGCATTATTAGTCCCATGCAATTTAGCTGCAGATTTCCTTCCGGTCAATTCCTTTCCTTTTCTTGAAGCTATCACTATATCTATGATCTTAGAGATATCATAGACCAGTGAGTTTTTCTTGTTAACTAAGCACTACTGTGCATTAAAAATAATATTTCTGTTTATCTAAATGAATGTGCAGCCAGTTAAATTAAATTTAGGTTTCCATGATAGTTCCTTTCTTCTTGCGTACTGCAGAAGTGTAAATAGGAACAACTGATTTACCTTCTTTGTTAAATTATATACCTCTGTGTTCTCTTATTCATCTTCTTTAAAAATCAGTTTTTGACTCAGTTGTTTTCCATGTCTCTTTCTCTCTAAACATGTTTACTGACCATCTCTGAAAGCCCTCCATTTCTGGTACAGGGACTGCCTCCTATTAGAATTACAGTGGACAGAATGCTTTTGAGTCTATTAACTGGTGATTCTAATAAGCAGCAGCAAAGTAAAGAGAGAAAAGAAAAAAGCCCATGTGGATACCATGATCACACATGCTCAGTAGTCACCAGCTGTTGCATAACACTTAGCTGCACAGTGAACATGCACACACATGGACTTGGTTGTGATAGCCAGTGGAGAAGAATTTGTATACAGAATGTGGTTTCAGGTTGTGATGTCAATGGTTCCAGTAAATGAGATTCTACTAAGCAGCAGAAAAAATGCTCATAATACAATGTTTGGGGGTTTGGTTTTGGGGGGTTGATGCTAATATGCAGCTGGATGGACATTTTCTACCCTTCTACACTTATGCTGAATGCTTTTTTCCAGATTAAGATGTAGTCTTCCTTTAATAGCGTTTTCAGTGTTATTTTTCTAGCCTATTGATCCAATTTGGCTTTGATTTTTTTTATACTGCTGTTGCCTGGGGAGCAGGGGTTTTCATTAAGCTGTCTAGAACAGTGGTTTCCAAACTTGGTTACAACCTCAAATGGGGTTGTAACATCAGTGGATGGGGTTGTGATAAACGTGCCCCATGAGATTTCTGTGCCGACAGTGGACTGCAAAGGTGCAGCTGGGCTGGACCAGCTCCAGGCAGGAGCTGCCTTTGTGGCCCAGCAGGTGGGGCCCATTGTGAGAGGGAGTGCTGCACTACCATGACTGCCAAGGTGAGGCATGGTAGTGATGGGGGCATGGAGTTGTGCCCACTCATGCTGCTGCCGGATAAGGAGGGAGTAACTCAGTTTGGCATCCATGGTGGCATATTGCTAGCTCCCTCCCACACCAGGTCCTGCTCACTGGGCCACAGAGCCCCTGGGAGGAGGGCAGCAGGGTGAGGAACCCAAAGCCTGCAGCGGGCAGCCCGCATGCTCCCCTCCATGGGCTCTGCTCCAGCAGTGCTGCCTGTTGGGGAGGGGATGGGGCAGGGTGGGGAGAATCTGGGCTCTGCTCTGCACTCCACTCTAGCTACAGCAGCTGCCACCTCCCCTGGAGGTGCCCCAAGGGTGGCAGGTCCTGCCACCAAGGTCCTGGCCCTGCTGGGCAGCAGAGAGGTCCCAGGACCCAGCTGGGTCTGGCCTGAGGTCCCCATGTGCCATGCCAGGTCCTGCCACCAAGGGCCTGGCCTGGCCGCAGACGATCCCCAGGGCCAACAGGACCTGGCTGGGTCCGACACGCAGTCCACCCGTGCCGCGCCAGGTTCTGCCACTATGGCTCAGAGCACCCTGCTGCTACTGCTAAAGGTAAGTTATGGGCCCTGGGCGGGGGGGGCTATGGCCCTGCAGGGGGAAGCTGGGATCCTGGGCAGGGGGGATGTGGCCCTCCAGCACAGTCCCCCCAGCAATCGCCACACACACCTCTTACTCCACACCCCTTCCTGCAAACACTACATCCCCCCATCACACACCCATCATGTGCAAAGAAAACCAAAAGTACGCATCAACACATATAGGTATTTAGAATTTATTTTATCATGATGATAGAGACACTGGTAGGCTTCCACATTGCTCTAACATTGTAAATATACCAATAAAGCATTACCCAACTGATTGCTGTCTCTCTCTAGGGTGTGTGTGTATTTTTAAAAATGGGTTTGGGATGCCACTGCAGCAGTCCAGCTGGCACAAGGGGTAGTGTCCCCAGGTACCAAGTGGCCAGGCCCCAGAAGCTTCTGTCTATTTGTATCCTTCAAGTAGCATGGGCTCTAAGGCCCACCTGGCTAACTAATAGCCCCTGCTGTGTGGGGCTAATGGGTGAAAGATGCAACAGAATTCTTGGGACAAAAAAGGCAACAACAAAAAAAAGGATAGGGGTGTCATATCAGTCAAACCGTGAAAAGAAGTGCTCCTGAGGGGGACACCGAGCAGAGCCCCACAGGCCACACCCACCGGTCCTCAAAAGACATCCAAGGAGCTGATGGATGCCGTCAACTGGTGCTTCACCCAGAAACGTGCATGGACAAGTGAGAGGAAAGCAGCCCCGCAGTCTCCGGGCACCTTCCCGGCCAGAGCCTCCTTCCTGATCAAATACAGGGCCCACTTGGCCAAAGCCAGGAGGAGGTTGACTGGGAGGTCCCGGGACTTGGTGGGGCCATGGATGGGGTGACCAAAACCAAAAAAGTGAGGGGTGAAATTCAACCACCAGGAGGCTCTGGAGGTGGAGGTGGAGGGGCTGCAGCCTGGCGCACTCGAGGGTCATGTGCACCAGGGTCTCCCTCTGCCTGCACAAGAAGCAGGAGACTGGGGTGTCTGTGAGGCTTGCCACATACATGCTTGTGGTGACAGCTCCATGGAGAAGCCACCAGCTGAGGCCCCCAGTGGCTCGTGGAATGAGAGTGGAGTACAGACTCAGCCACTGGGGTGCCCCAGATATGCCCTCACCGAGCAGGTCCCGCCACTTGGTGTCTGGGTGGGATGTGAGGGTGGCATGATGGACAGTGCAGTGCACAAGCATGTAGAGGTGATGGCGATGGATGGTGGAAAAGCGGACCTGTCTGGTGTCCTCCAGCTGGCTTAGGTGGTGGACCAGGGAGCGCCCTGAAGCTGGGCGAGGTGCCGTCCCCACAACAAATTCTGGTGGACTGGAGGACATGGGGGGCAGGGGGAGGGGACTGCCACCATGCAGGTCCTGGTCATCAAAGGCA